TTTGCAATTTCTGGTTAACAATTGTTTGACATATATATTTTGTATAGATTTATTTTAATCAAATTAATTAGAGCAGTGTTCTTCACCATGTGTCTCCAAATTTGAATACCTCTTTTTGTAGATATTTTAATATAATTATCATATAAGTCACTTAGTACTATAGTTTGGTGATATTCCTCTTCACTTATAAGTGAGAGATTTTACGTTCGATTCTCGCCTAAGGCGAATTCGATTTAGTCTGAGTCAAGACGAGAACAGTCGATGTACGTTTGGCTTCAACTACTCCATTCATTGCCTACCACGGCACCTTGACTCCCTAACCAACTTATTCTAGCTAGCCCATTGTGAGGTTTAACCCACTTCTCTCCATAAAGCAGATAGTAACGTATGTGTTAAAAAAAAAACAATAATTATCATATTGTTGTAAAATAGAAAACACCACAAGATTTTGGATGGCAGACTATTGATTTTTAAGGGATATTCCACCTTTAAATTAGATCTGTCTTGACCCTAAGCAAAAGCACGCTCCAAATGTAGACGAATAAACTAATTGGAATGGGATCCTTTCCATATCCCTTCCTCCTAATCTTCATAACCCACAAATTCAGATTCTTGAAATTTGATCCAACAGCTAAAAACAGGGGGCCTATTAAAAGTTATAATAATTTTAGCCGTTGAATCAAATTTTAAGAGTCCAGATCTGTGGGTCATAAGAATTAAGAGGAAGGGATCCATTGGATTATGAGGATTAAGAGGAAGGGATCCATAGAGGATCCTTTTCCAAACTAATTAACCCCACCAAGCAACCAAAATAAAAATAAAATCATCAAATTAACTATAAGATAAGTGACATTCAGGTGCAAATTAAACTTTTTGGTATGTAAAGAGATTATTTTCTAGGTAAAAAGTGGACTTTGTGATTAGTGGAGTAACCAACCAAATAATATCAACTTTAAATTTTGTATTAGCTCAAAAATCCATCTTACTAACACAAAACAATTTTTTTTTTTTAATCAAGGAGGAGTTGATTTTCAAAGTCAAGCACTAAGTAAGCAAGCAAGCTACCTTTTTTTATGATCGAGCGAGTAAATTACCTTACTTTGTGTGTCACTGCCTCTCCTAACACATTCAATTAACCCTCTCAATGTTTGTTTAGGGTTGGATAGTGTGCTAGGATGAGATATCCTTTAATCTTGGGGGACATGAGATATCTTTTAATTTGGGAAGAAAAATGTCACTAGATTAAAATTTTGATTTTGTAAAAAGTACTCATGTTTATTGCTGATGAAGTGCTCTTTTTTCTTTTTTTCTTCGAGGTTTTTGAATGAGACTTATCTTGCTCCCACAAACCCTTTGTACTATGTGTTTACGTAGGAATGGAAAACTCAATTCTATATAAATAAATAAAAACATTTTTTGTTAGAAGTGTATATTTTTATTCACATGCCCAAGTGTTCCCTAAAAAAATTATATTTGGAAATGTTTCATGAAGAAGAATTTGCTAGATGCTTCTCCAAAAGCTCTTCCATAACCTAAAACCACTTAAAAAATTTTCTCCAAAACACATTCATAAAAAATATTTATTGTCAAAAAGCAACAGACCCTAAGAGTTTTATTTTTATTTTTTAATATGATGATATATTTTTGCTATGGGGATTGTCCTAAGTTTATTTTAATTTATTCAGTATCTTGCAAATTCGAGGTGCTAAATTCAAATTCTTTGGTGCAAATGGTAGATTATTTATTTTAGTGGTTAGGGTCTTCTTCTTTCACCCACTGTATCTAGATCAAACTTCTTATCCCCTTAGTATAGATTCGTATAAATAAAAAAAATTGCCTTCGGTGCAAATGATAGATTGTTTTGGTGGCTAGTGTTTTTATTATAACGACGTTAACATTTTTATTTACAAACCCAAGTGTTCCCTAAACAATTGTATATGAAAGTGTTTCATTAAGAAGTATCTGATAGCGATTATCCATATGGCTCTTTCTTAACCTAAAAATAGTTCTAAATTTTTTTGCAAAACACATTGATAAGAAATTTTTATGTCAAAAAGCAATAGACCCTAAGATTTTTTTTAAAATTTTTTTATGTACGAATATTTACACTAAGGGGTATCGTCTTGAGTTCTTTTTAATTTGCTCAGTATCTTGCAAATCCGAAGAGCTCATTTCGAATTCATTGGAGCAAATGGTAGATTGTTTTGATGGTTAGGGTCTTCCTCTTTCACCCACTCCAATCGGATTCAAACCCAAAATAAATTATTTGGGCCTAAGTGGACTTGACAAACTAGGCTTTAGTTTCAGCCCAGATTGATGTGCTGTTCTTTTTAAGCCCATGGCCATCATGACCTTTTTCTCTTTTCTTCTTCTGGTCTCCCCCTGGATTAAGGTACCGACCTGTTGAGTTGCGACTAAAATCATTCGAAATTCAATCAAATTCAGTTCGGTGCGGAAACACCGAAAGAAAAAGAAAGAGGGGAAATCGCAATCACAGTTGCAATGGCATTGTCGGTGGAACTAGGAGGAGGGACGTTATCGGAGATATACCAGAGCGCCAAGAAGGTGTTGCTCAGAACAAGAGACGGCCTCGAGAGGCTGGAGAGGTTGGAGCACGCAGGTGGCGGCATCGACTCCCCGGACCTTTCCACCTCCGTCAAAAGAGATATCTCTCAAATCCAATCCCTCTGCGCCGAGATGGACCGACTCTGGCGATCTGTGGGTGCCAAATCTCAACGCGATCTCTGGAAAAGGTTGGTTTTCTTGCATTGATCCCTTGAACCTTGATGTGGTTTTTTTGCCATTTTCGCATATTGGGATCGGAATTCGACTTGGTTTTTTTAAATTCCGTTTATTACTATGATCTTTGAGTTGGGTTTTTGTTATTTTGGACATTGTAATTGGAATTGGGGCTTTTGCTCATTAATTCATTGAACGTTGCGGTGGGATTTTTTCAAATTTGTATATGGTGGTTGTAATTGTGATTGGGTTTATTGAACTGGATCCTGATTTGCTTTTTGTTATGCAGAAAAGTGGAACAAATAGCGGAAGAGGCTCAGTCTTTGAAAGATAGTCTGGATAGGTATGATGCGAGGAATCAGAAGAGGGCGACAGAAGCGAGAGAGAGGGCAGAGTTGCTTGGAAGAGCTGTATTAAACCCGAAATCCCTTTTAACATTTTGTTTACTGCGTCAGTATATGTATGCCTTTTGTTTTATATATGCCTATGTTATTGTGATGTAGAATGGGGATGGTGCTCATGTTATGAGAATCTTCGACGAGGAGGCGCAAGCAAGGGACTCAGTTCGTAACTCTGCTCGCATGCTTGAAGAAACCAATGCTACTGGGGAAGCTATTCTTAGGAAATATGCAGAACAGAGGGAATTTCTAAAGGTATCACCCTATTTGTGCTCACCGTTATGCACCTCAACTTTCATGATTATTGAAAAGAAGCAATGGTGAAACTGTGGCTTTGTCTATATCATTTTTGTTGAATATAAAACTTTCATTGGAGTACTTACTCTGGTTTTATAGCAAATTTTAACTTGTAAAGGACAAGAAAATTGGTAGCTCTTCTTTGATATTGTGTGCACATAGTAGTTCTACAAACAATTAGATTGAGTGAACGTTTGAGATGAGCATATGTGACGCAGGGTAAGAGAGAATTAGAGAGGAAGTAGACAGAATAGGAAACTTAAACAAGGATTTAACTAGAACCAATATTCATATTCTTTCCATGTATTGGCAGAAGTAATCAGTCTCCAACTATCATGAATATCCTTGTATTGAAGTTCTACCTGAAACACTCTATTGTATGATTCATTTGTTAGTGAATGTATTCAAACTAGTCAAATCTAGATGTGATAATCTTCCCGCGCATATCCATACAGAGAGTACTCTGATATAGCCCTTCCCGATATAGGATAAAACATGTGTTGGATTGTAACAAGAGAACTCAGGTGGCTTAACGTCATTACCTTGGACGGTTTGATGCATTGGTGTTGATTTTAGGAATCCAAAAATGCCTCAAGTAAAACTGAACAACGAAAATAATACTTTGATATAGCACATCCCCAGTTTTGCAAGAGAAGATCTGGCTTTGTTCTTGAATTCAGGTGGCTTAACCCTTTTATCTCAGGAACTTTGGTGTATTGATGACGGTTGAATCTACAATTGCTATGAACTTTTTGTAGCAATCTGAAGATTAGTCATAGCAAATTAAAAGAAGTTAAACAGGCCGATAGCTATATAATCTGTTTGATACGTAACAAACAGTTAGTGATGCATTACATGTTATTGCTACTAATGCTTGTTAAATGCTGAATCATCTACTAACTTGTTTCAGAGAGCACAACGAAAAGCACTGGATGTCTTGAACACAGTGGGTCTTTCCAACTCTGTTTTGAAGCTCATTGAGAGGCGCAACCGTGTTGATCAGTGGATCAAGTACGCAGGCATGATTCTGACAGTCGTCATTCTATTTCTCATATGGAGGTGGAGATGGTGATCTACGCTGCAACAGCTGCTAGCCTATTCTGTTTCTACTTTTTGTGGAAAAATCATATAGTTCCTATTGTGATTTGGTCTCACATTTGAACAGGCTCACAATCATTTCTGAGGCCATATTTTAGATGTATCACTCGTATAAATATAAATTTACGTTCCTGTGGATGGTTTCACAGTTCTGAAAAGTAAAATTGAATCCAAGAAGGATAACAAGCATCCCCTTAATTTCACGGCTTTGCTAGACGGGTCTCAAGTTCAAACTTCCCTCATCCAAATACAACAACAATAACAAGGCCTTATCCCACTAAGTAAAGGTTAGCTATATGAATCTTAGAACCTCGGTTTTGTGCCACGTCTTCGACAAATTTCCCTCATCCAAATAAAAAAGAAAATAAGTTCAATCCATGCACTTCCATTCTAAAACCCCCTACACCCTTTTTGGTTCCAATAGAATGAAAGAAATTCAGTTTACTGATAGAGGCAACTCTGAACGACTGTATTTCTAATGAATGTAATCTATATAATAATGATTCATACTTTACATCGACGAAATTCATAGTTCATTCCACTGTACAATCAAACATATTAGAGGAATCGTATATGAAAAATTGAGCCCTAGAGCAATGAACAAACCTAATCTGAATGCATGAATGGATTTTAAACTTCAGATGAATGCTTAACGGCCATCACAGCAATGGCTCTTGCAAACCAAAAGAATATATGGAAGTGTCGGGCAGTGGAGTAACTCATGAAGACTCAACTTTGTTGTAAGGCTCCATCCACTTCCAAACAGAAACGAGACCGGTTGCATCCCCGCTGAAGAATAATCCTCCAGGTCCTACCCCAATCCTCTGAATTTCTCGTTTTGCAAATAATCTGCCCCTTTCCGAAAATCTGTAAAAGCAAATCATAAAGTGAGAAGCTTTGGAACTTCAAACAACCAAGAATCGGAGCGTTTAGTATCAGGCACTGTGGACTTACGATGGCAGCTCCAATAAGCGAACAGAATTATCATTGCAAGAACAAAGCAAGATTGGCTTCGTTTCTGGGTCTGTCATTCCAGCAAGATCAAGGACACCCTGTTGCATGAAGAATAGTATCATAAGATTTGGTTTGTGCAAAAAATGGAAATTGAGCACACCACTATCAAGTATACAACAAGACTTTATCAGACAGTAATACAAATTGCACAACTGAATGCAAGAATATTACTTTGAACCGTGAAAACTAACACCCTAGAACACTATAATAACTGAAAGTACATAACAAAAGCGAAAGGATTAAAGATAGAATAACATACATGCTCCTCACTGTGGGTGTAGGTCACTTCCAAGCTGCCTCGTTCAGTGGCTGCCCACACCTTTACTGTGCAGTCCAATGAACACGAGAGCAAAAATTTATCCCAGCAAATAAGAGACATCACCGCACCAGAATGCCCTTTTAGTGTCATAACACACTGTAAAGTATCAAGATCCCAAACCTGAAACAAAGAAAATCACAGTAAATTACTCTATATGACATTGAACACAGAAGCACCACAAAATAAGGGTCTTGGCTACACTGCATTAAGTAATATCCCAACAGCATATATTACAATAAATTCTACAAACTCACCCTGATTGTATGGTCCACAGATCCCGAGTACAGCCTGTTTGCCCCAACAATTAAACATACAACAGGACCAGTGTGGCCTTTCAGAGTTGCAGCAGGAACAAACGAATTTGTTTGGGGACAGCCTTTCCACACATATATAACACCATCCTGCAGTATATAAGGAAACAGATAAATCATTTGAAACTTATGAACTATGAATAAGTGGATGAAGAAATATCCAATTGTTAGGTTCTCTACCTGTGCCCCAGCAAAAAGCATTTCTTTACCAACCACAATAGCATGCACTTGGCCTGCAGGTCCATCCAGATTGAATTCCACATTTGATTCAATGTTCCATGCCTGCAACATCAAGCACAATCAGCATAAACATATTGAACAAACCAAGCAACAAAAAGAATACACAACTGTATAATAATGAAATTAACACGCTAAAATACCTTAACAAGATTTGGAACGCCAATGAAAATCCATGGTCCTTCACTAACTAAACAACCTGCTTCATCACCAAGGTTCACCACACGGTCACACTGACCATTATGGCAGTCCCAAACTCTGGCTGCTCCATCTTTACCAGCGGAATAAAGCTTGTTAGATCTTTCAGGAAGTGCAATACCAGTGACAGCCTGTTGACATATATTTCACCATTAGAATGACTGTCCAAACACACAAATTAAGAAGAACGACAAATACCTATTTGTGCTCTATAGAAGTGGAAATAGAAGGCATGCAAAATTTGCTTCTTAGAACATAAAATTACTCTATATAAGTTTAATATTTCCATAAACAATTGTGTTTGGAAATATATAAATTATAATTTTGGAAGACCAATAACTAACACAAAATACACGAGCTTGAGTAAAACTGTAAAACAAGAAATAGCCAAAATTATATTGTCTTCTCCACTCATCAGTTCCTTCTAGTTTCCCGTTCAAAGAAGATAAAATAGAACAAATTTAAAAAGACTACATATTTGTTCAATAGAAATACCTTCTTGTGCCCTTGGAGTTTTGCCAACATTGAGAACCCCTTTCCACTAAACCACTTGTGCAAATACAGGCATCGATCACCTTTCACACAATTCCCATCTACCCAGTACTTGCAGACTTGGGATTTCTGAATAGCATTGCTTGTCTGAGTAGCATTGCTGATCGGACCAGGATTGCTCTTCTGAGTAGCATTGCCTTTCTGAGCAGCAATGCTTTTCTGATGAGCATTGTCTGCATTGCCTTTCCGAGCAGCATTGTTTTTCTGAGGAGCATTGTATGCATTGCCCTTTCCGGTAGCAGTTTCCTCCTTTGTCCAAACAAGAGCCTTCTGTTTTGAAATGTGAAGGTTCATGGATGACTCTGGTGCACCCGGGTGCAAAAACCTACAGGATTCCTTAGTGCATCTTCCAGCTGCCCAATAAATGCAAACAGATTTTGACGGTCCTCCTACTGGTCGACTATACGCTGATCTTTCTGGTCTATTCGCAGGCCTCCTTAATGCCTTAGTCGCCATACTATAAACACAAATTTAGTACCAATGAGAGATTGCCGGCACGCAGCTTAAAAGTGACCCACCCAAACAGAAACCCCAAATACCAAGTATCAACAGAACCCCAATTCTCATATTCTAATATGTCCTCCTTTCTTCAAATAACCCGAAAATTAAATGAAACCCGGTAAGCCTTCAAATCTGAATGGATGTAGTACAAACACGCTCTAGGAATCGAGAAACTATCAATGTCGGATTCTTTAATTCAAATCATGAACCAAAAACGAAAACTTTTCAATCTAATCAGCCGCCGATTCCTGGGCGAATTCTAAATAAAAACAAAAGTAAGCCGAAAATCAAAACCCTAGATTTGCAGCCTGATTGAGAATCAACTCCTTAGTACCATCACGCTCTAAGAATCGAGAAACTCAATGTCGAATTCTTTAAATCCTTGGAAGAAATTCGAAAACTTTGCAATGTAATCAGTCGCCGATTCCTGAGCGAATTCTAAATAAAAATAAGAGTAATCTGAAAAACGAAACCCTAAATTTGCATCCTGAGCGACAATAAAACCCAGACAGAAAACCCATCATCATCCTTACGACAAACGCGTTCGGCTAAAAAAACCCCTAGATGGCCTCCTGGGGTATCCGTTAACGTCGTGTAAAGAACAAAAGCCTAGATGTAATTACGCGATTGCAGAGACGTGCGTACGGAGAAGAAGCAAACCTGAGAGAAGAGAAGTAATCGATGATCGATTCGATTAGCCGAAAGCTTGAAGGCTTGAAGCGATTCGAGTCTCGTGTAAACTGTTTCCGATGCCCAGTCAATCGAAGTCGACGAGCGATCGCAGAGAGATGGAGAGAATGTGAATAGTTAGCGATTGAAACCCTAATTTTATGAGAAGTTTGATCGCAGAGAGATGGAGGGAACTGATGAAATATGATCACACTGGGCCTGTAGCTGCTTTTATAGACTTATCGTAGGTTTGAGTATTATACTCGCGCCAGATAAAATGTACTGGGACGCGGAATCTGACAGCTAATCCTGACCCTCCGTTATATGTTTTTCTTACGCAACTAATCCTGACCCTTGGATTTATATTTTGGAAATCACCACAAATAATTCTGTTTTCCTCGCTTTCAGAAAAACAAAAGAAAAACCGTTTGTCCCTCTTCATAAATTTTTCTTTTCCTTATAATTTTTATTATTCATTTCATCCCTTTCTCTAAAGATAATGTTTAGACCTACTCCAGCTATTGAAATAAAACTTAAATTTTAGGTTCTAAACTTATTCAAACTTGCTTTAACCCAAATATGAGTTAAAACTCAAAACTTTTTTCTGAGCAAAATTTAGCTCAAGATTTCCCCTGGGTTAGTGGGATTGCTCCACCATATATGTATATTTTTATTTTTATTTTATATTTATAAATTCATTGAATCCAATGGTTAAAATCTAATTGGATGAAATTCAACAGTAAAAAAAAATAATCTAATGGTCCAAATTTAAATCCAATGGCTAAAGTAATTAAAAAAAATTCTTTTATGTGTTTCATAGTGTTTCACGAGTTTTATGGTGTCGGTTAGTAATTTTTCAATATTTGTTCGGAATCTAAATAGTTTTAGGTTAAAATGTTCATAAAATTAAATTATGATAGTCTACATAATTTTTTTTGTTTTAAAAAAGTTACTTTAAGAAAAAAAGTTAGCCTAAATTCATTATTTAATGATTTGTGGCTAAAATTTTAACCCAGAAAGATTAGATCAAAAAAGTTGTTTCTCGGTTAAAAACTAAATTTTATAGGCTCAAATTTTTAGGTTTTAGCTCAAGGGTTGGAGATGGTCTTGAAGGACACAATTTGCAGACATCACATGCACCCTAAGGCCATCTTCAATCGGGAGGGTTAAACATAACCTCCTCCATAATTATAGCTGATGCAAAAAATAATTTAATGAACAGTGTCAGGCCACGCTTATATTCTCCAATCGGAAGGCCTTACAAATGATATTATCTATGGGGGAGGGGTGGGTTTAGCATCACAATGGGCTAGTTATAATATGGTTCAAATTGCCTTTTGTGAGAAAGGAACCTAAAACCTCTCATTTATAAGTGAAGAGAAATACTACTAGACGTTAGTATTAAGTGGCGGTGGGCTTCATAGAGTTAGAGATGAGTTTTTGATAAATCCGGCCATGTTTGAGTCTTTTGACTTACACTTTATTTGGATACAATAAAATAAAATAGAATTTCATTTAAAATACAGAATTTGGGATGGGAAAACAGTTTTCCCTCGTTTAGGAACTTGTAGCGTAAGAATAGCCAATTTCTACGGGGAAAAAAGGAGGAAATTGGGATGAAGATTTTCAAGTTTAATTTCCATCTAAATAGGTGGAATTTCACAATTCCAACAATGATGAGAATCCCAAATTCATCGGCTGGAAATCTTGCACGCGCCAAATTTCATGATTAGGGCGCCAAACTGGGATGATTAGCGCCAAAGTTCACAATAAAAGGGCTGCATCTTCACTTTGTTAACTTTCCAATCTTCGAAGGGATTCTCACTCGTGCTTCATCTTCTTCCTTCGTTCTAGGTCAGTCTCTTCTCTCTTCTTTCTTGAATTATTTTAAACTTTTTGGGTATACTCTTTATAGAAATTGTGAATTTTGGTGATAGTCATATGCTCTTATTAGTTTTTTTTTCTTTGATTGAATTGTGTATTGGGACTGAAACCTTATCTAGGAAGGGGGGAAGGTTTTTTGATGGCCTTTGGTGTTATTTCAGAAGTTCCTTGTTACAGATGTTCTTTTGAAGGTTAACAATAACCAAGATTGAATATGATGATTTTGTTAAGCCACCGAAGCAATAATTGAAAGAAGGAATTACTCTCATGATACTAATTCCAGATTGTTCTATCTTTACGAACCAACCGTTGATTTGCATGTGACTTGTATGACTACTCATTTTTTTCTTTTCACTTTTGCCTCATTTGTTTTTTGATTGCATAGCCTCACTCTTAATTTCTTGCCTCAAAAACCTTGTGCGTCTACTACATGTATATCTACAACTTTTGGTTAAAACAGAAAGTTGCATATCCCATAACTATTGTTGCATATCACAATATATCTTTGTTCATATATTCAAATAGGTATGGAAAATACTGATGTTGTAGACATGCTAATGAGATTAAAGCAAAAGTGTGCTATAAATGAAAAGGAAAATAGGAAAAAAAGGAAAATTATTGTCGGTACAATTATATATGTTATTGTCATTGTCATGCATTGGTATAGTAAGTGTGTTCTTCTCAAAGAACCTTCAAATGATTGGAATCAAGAAAGACAACAAATTTTGTTGATGTGCCTCATACAAAGAGAAAACTGATCACCCCTAAATATATGATTGCAGATTCACTTGCCAAGATGGCTTCATCCTTTCAAGATTATATTTGTGCAGACACAAAAAAGCTTGATCCAACAGAGGTATATGATGAAGTAAATGCAATACCAGATCTTAGTAAAGAAGAACAATTCAAAGCATGCACTTGGTTGATCGAAAATGACAAGCAATTTCTCATGTTGAAAACATTCACAGTTGAGAAGAAAAAGAATATGGTATTATTGTTTACTTCATGGGGTGTATATGATTGTTTTCATTATATTACTCATGTTAGTATTTTTCAGTAAGATATTAGTTAGAATAAAAGCCTTGCATGTCATGAAAGTTCTTTCACATTTGCAAGTGTGCTTTATTGGGATTTTCCTACATCAATCAACTCGAGACTCATCACATTATTGCAGCGGTTAATTATTGGAAAATTTAGACTCTGGTTTTAACTAACGTCTTGCTGATGTATTATTTTGAATCAAATTGATGATTTTATAACTAATGTCTCATTTTTGTTTGATGACCTTAACCCTGATGATTTATAACCAGTTTAACGTTTTTATTCAAATTTGTATTTCCTCTATATAATACAAATTCTAGAGAATATCCAAACGATGAAATTTAGAATTCCTGTTATTTTGTAATTTCTATGTATCTAACATTCAAACGATGAAATTTCAATTAACGGAAATTTAATTACTATCAATTGTAATTCCTGTCATTTAAAATTATGCCAAAATTTAAAAATTCTTCTTCCAAACGTAATGTTATGGATTTTAACCCTCAAATAGAAATGGCCTTAGCCCTTCCTTTGTAGACGTACGATACTGAAACACTTGAAGCTGCTATTTGCTAAACCCCTCACTCTCCCTCTCTCTCTCTCTCTCTCTCTCTCTCTCTCTCTCTCATTAACACACACAGCAATGGCGAGCTCACAGGAAGAGGCCAAGCTCAAACGATTCCTCCAGTGGTTACAGGTCTTTTTCTATATAAAATCTTTCACTAATCAATTAGTGCAACTGCGTTTTTGTTTTCGATCATTTGGGTTTCTGAATTCAGGTTAATGGACCGGAGCTACGCGGCTGCAAAATCAAATACTCCTATTCCAACAAAGGGTTTGGCATTTTTTTCGGCTAATGATGTTTCTGATGGTAACCCACCTCTTCCTTTTACTCATAAATTGTTGGGTTTTTGTTTATCATGTTTTGAGTGTCAAAAGGCTGCATTCTTTGAAAACCATATGGGAAAATAAACCAGCGAACTCGATTTTATGGGTTTCTTGGGTTGGACAAACCTTGTCAACTCGAACTTGTGCTCGAATTTTGGGATATTTGATAAGTTTAGTGAACATGGACATAATTTCTTAACCCGAATTAAAGGGCCACTAACTCAAGAAACTGGATATAAAGATATGGGTTATTTACATCTTACATTTTTGTTTTAAACGGTAAATTGTTCATGATTTATCTGGTTCTTTGTCTAAATTATTTATAGATATAATGAAGGGATTGAAGATGATTGTAATATATTTATTAGCGTAACTACTTGGTTAAACAACCATTTACATTTGTTCATAATAGTTGCAGAAGATTTGCCATAATTTTTTTTTTTTCCAATCTGCTCAACAGCTCGAGTACTATGGACTACTTCATTTCTCTGACTTTCTTATTCGGCCAAACTGTTCATGCCCTCCCCTTATTAAGATCCATGGGTACAAATAGAATTTGTTATGTGTCGCAATAAAACCGCATTGTAAGGGGTTGATCCCAAAAATTCATACACCAGTTTGGGATGTTCTGTTTTTCCTTTATGATGTGGGACATTCTAAGTTGTAAGTTGCGACAATCTCACATTTGGAGCATAATTCTGATTTATTTTGGGAAATAAATATCAGGGGTTCTATTAGTTGTTCCTCTGGATTTGGCGATAACTCCAATGAGAGTTTTGCAAGACCCTCTTCTTGGACCAGAATGCAGAGCAATGTTTGAAGAAGGTGATGCAGATGATAGGTTCTTGATGATCTTATATCTGACAGTGGAGCGCCTCCGCAAGAATTCTTCTTGGAAACCGTATGTATAGATTTCCTTTTATTGAATTATCAATTCCAAACAATCTCGTTTCTTTGGTAGCTGAGCTTCTCTTGGTTGGAATGGAAGATAACATCAGGTACTTTGATATGCTTCCGACCACTTTGGCAATCCACTTTGGTTTACTGATGATGAGCTTTTGGAGCTAAAAGGGACAACATTGTATCAAGCAACGGAACTGCAGGTAAAAGAGTTTTGGGAATCTGGCCATCATATTTAAATATCCAAATGTAGGTTGTATATGTACATGTCGTCTGATGTGGGAAACTGCATCCAATGATGGTTTGTTATGGTTCTTCTAAGATGAGGTATAGATAATGTACAATACCTTTTTGAAATTTTTTCTTATGAGATGTCAGAAAATGCTTTTAATTTTTAGCTAGCATTCAGGTGTGCAGCAGACTTTTAGGTTGGAGTTTATTTTTTGTGATATTGATACTGTCATTTGTTGGGTCTTTAGGTTAAACTTGTACTGATGTTCATGCCGAAAATTATCTATGTGTGGTTTCACAACTTTTTCACTCTAAGCTCATTTGGCTTCCCAGCATGCCAAAGTTTAGTTTAAATTGTATGGTTTTACAAAGTATCTATTGTCATTTTTGATATATAGTTCTGTCAAATATGTTTGTAGTTTATCTTCCGCGTGTAATACATGTGACCAGAGACAGGTTTATCATACAGAAGAAAAGCTTGGTGTCGTTATATGATGACAAACTGAAGGCTCTGGTGAAGAAACTGTTAACTCTGGATAGGGATTTGGAAAGGTGTGTAAATCCATATATATATATATATGTATGTACATATTTTCCTTATAAATTTCTGAAGGGAATGAAATTTGTAAGTATTTAATTCAGAAATCACAGAGGTAGCGTACGGTATGAATGATTGGTTGAGAAATAATTAGTTCCATTCTTTTCTTGTGGTCCTTCTCATGCCCAGTCTTGTGACTTTTTCGTAACTAGTGTTGGATCAACAAATATACAGCTCATGTTAAAATCCTGTGAAAGCATTATTTTTCGTTTTTGGTTAAATGCAAAAACATTATTTGGTTATGTAAGACTATTGGACTGTAGACCACAATTTATGATGAAATCTATCTGGTTGGTGGACTTCTGAAGTTTCGTAATTTTTTTCCGGTTGCATGTAATTCATTGTTTCATCGTTGAGTAATCAGGTGTCTTAGTCTGCATGCTTGTGCTACTTTCATATGAATTGATCATCTATTTAATGGTCAGGCTCTTGAATAATGGTCTACAATGGCAGACTGTCAATTTTTCATGGTGCTAAGCTTTCAGTTGTCATTATGTTACAAGTGAATGAGGCGTATACTCTTGTAAGATACTATGTAAATTGTAAAGTTACATGTTGAACAACACTCAGAAGGATAGACATTAGAATCAGTTGTATGCATCCTCAGAATTTACTATGATTAATTGCTGATCATATACAATACCTGTTGCTTCTTTTCAGAGATATGTGCCTTGAAGATTTCCTCTGGTAGGTACCATCTTTGTGACTAATCTAACGATTTTTTTAATTGAATCCTCTCCCTAATAATGTCTTCATGGTGCTTTAGACCTTTGTTCCTATGTATTACAACTGCTTTCATGCTAGAGCAATTTCTCTGTTTTGGACCCGTGCTTTAAACATTCCCCTTCCATATTCTTATGTATTTCCCAAAATTCAAGAAGACAGTGCTTCAGATGGCAAAAATTCTGAGGTTTCTACAAATATTTGCAAAGAAGAGTTGGTTAATGGAAGAGATGAATGTGGTAAAGTCAATTTTTTTACGTCACCAATACACTTCATCAGTATGTACTCGGTGTTTGATTTGGTATTTTTAGATACAAAGTGTTTCTGTTTATTCTAATATAAGTGATTTCTTTAATTAGGATGTCAGGTTGAAGGGGTTGATATTCAATTTGGTAAAGTGACATCCACGCCTAAACAAAACGAGACTGTCTGGGTGTAGGGTCATGTTCCTGGCATTGACTTTTGCAACCATGGTATGCCGGTTGTTTATCAAGTGTTTGGAGAGTCTTTATTCTGTAAAACTTACTAGCTGAAATATGTGGCTCTTCAGATATAAAGGCAGCAGCAACATGGGAAGTTGATGAAACTGGATTGATAACTGGAGTTCCAAATTCTATGTACCTTCTTTCTGGTAGTATTCTTTTAACATCAGTTGCTCCGCTTTTCTTGCTGAAAAGCAACAGCTTAATTTGTTACACTCATAATATCTTGTATTGGTTTCATAGCACACAAATTTATCTCACCGTGACTGTTGCTCTTGAATTTTCGCAGTACTTGTTTTCACTTCTCCTCTTTTTATATTTAGCAGATTTTTAATCTCATCACATACAAGTTTATGTAACTTTGACAGTTTCTATGAATTGTTCCGCACTTGTTTTCATTTCTTTTCTTTGGTCTAATTAGCTGGGCCTTTTTTTGTTTCTCTTCAATTGGAAAGCTGGACAACCCTTGCAGATTGACGCAGAGATTTCCATAAGTAATGGTAGCAAAGGGAACGAGGTACTGTTTGGTGTCACTTATATTTTTGTTTGTTTCTGACGCCAAATTTACTTTTAACATTGTATTTATTGTACTCTGCATACCTCCTAACAGGTGCCACCAGACTTGACCTTCATCCTAGTAACTTAACATAATTTCGTCAAAATGGTTGCCTTTGTCCTCGCACATCGTTGCCTCAACTTATAATCTGGAATCATGTTTCATTTCATGTGCTACTTATTGCATTGCATGTCAACATTTTCATGCATTGAGCATACATTCTTACTTAGGTTTACTAGTCCAACAGATTTAACTTTGTTTTGACTTGCCATCGTAGTTTTTTGTTCAGAAAATTTCTTTCTCAAGTGTAAATTGAAAAAGCTACTTTGTCTTAACCACAGCAAGTGGCCTAGTGGTAAGGGTGCGGACTGCGACTCCCTAATAAACCAAAAAAATGTGGGAGGTCCCAGGTTCGTTGCTCTAAGCTGATGAGTCTGCTTGATTGTGGCCACGGGCAGGGTGAAATTCCCCATACCCTCTCCCAGCTTGGAAGGGGTGAATAGCCGTGGCTTGCCACCAGTTGTCCCCTTTTTTTAAATAAGGAAAAAGAAACTACTAGTCTTTGCTATCCCATATCTTGTTTTTCTAATCGATTTATCAATTGAAAAGCTTGATCAACTTTCTGAGTCCGAGTCATTCTCTGTGTTTGTGCAGGAACTGCTTTATCTATATGGTTTTGTACTTGATGATAATCCAGATGACTATCTCATGGTAATGCCTCTAGATTGGAATGTCTTGTGGACTTGTCTTGAATGCTCATTTGTTTCTTAATTAAAATTACTCATTCACAATGGTTATATTATTTTAGGTTTAATCCAAAGAAACTTAAACTTGACTCTATTTGATCTATTAAGGTCCATTATCCAGTGGAGGCCATTCAAAACGTTCCCTTTGCAGACTTGAAAGCACAGCTTCTCGAAGCACAGGTCCGCTATTGTCTGTTTCTGAATTTCATTAAGAAATAAAATAAGTAATGCAATTGGAAATTTAAGGGCATAAACAAAAATATTTCTTAATTTTTTTGTTTGTTTCCCCAAATTTTGCTTCATTATTCATAAACCTGGATCTAATGGAAGTCATGGCACAAAACTGAGCGCAATGGCGTTTTAGGATTCATATAGCCCACCCCACTTAGTGGGATAAGGCTTTGTTGTTGTTATTCATAAACCTGGTTGTTCGCAGAAAGGCGAAACGAGGTGTCTGTTACCTAGAAGTCTACTGGATCATGGCTTTTTCCCGGTAGGCAACTCAAATACTGAAGGAGGTGAGAAGTGCATACTCGACCATGTTTGCAGCTATAGTTGGAGTGGCCAGCGCAAGATGCCATAGTACTCGAGCAGGTTGGTTTTCCCTGAAGCCTTTTTGACAGCCTTGAGGACTATAGCCATGAAGGAGGATGAGCTACTTCAGGTTTCATCGCTGCTGGAAGAGGTAACAGCTCTGCAGCTATGCATTTTTTTCCGACAAAACCTCGCCATTTCAGTTTTTGCTAGCTGAGAATATACCTTCTTTACATAAGAAAAATTAAGTTTATGGTAAAGCATTAGCGCCCCACCATAGTGCTACGCGGCTAGTCACCACCCCAATGAATCCCTAGGCATTTGAAAATTAAGGAAGAGCGCCTAGACCTCTGTTATGAATAATTTGCTTCCCTGATTAATACCCTAATTAAACTATTTTATCTTAAAGCTTGTACAATCAAGAGAGGGGAGGCAACCATCTGATTCAGAAGTTCAAGCAGTGGTATGGGAAGCTTGTGGTGATTCCGGAGCTTTGCAAATACTTGTTGATCTTCTTAACATGAGGTAACTAGTAGGAACCATCATTGAATGTATTTAGCAATGTATTATGACTAACTTGTCAATGAGCATGCCTACATATACATGCAACTTTCAGAAGAGTTGTATTCCTAATCGGATTTCCTACACGCAAGGATGACGGATCTTCAAGAGTCTTCTGGTACAGAGGACTGCGACACCAGTATGCTTGAAAACGAACATATTACTGAAAGTGCGACCCAGCAGAGTGAGAACAATTTAAGGTACCATCTTTGCCAAAACGCACATATTAGTCACCTTCTTATGCGTTTTGCCTACACTAAATTTCCTAGTATTTCCGTCTGTGCAGTTCGTCTCTTATCATCCATTGTCTCCTTTCCAACAACCAAAATGTCGGTAGAGAAACTCAATATGTTTGTGTTAATCTTGGATTTCCTTGTTTCTTTTTCTAGCTGCAGTGGACAGACGAACGGAGTTGCACGACACAAGTCAGTGAGTCGAAATGACTGGTCTAGTATAGTCTATAGACGTGGGCAGAAGCAACTCACTCGACTATTCCTCAAGGAAGCAGAACGCGCCCTGCAATTAGCCCTCAGCGAAGGGAACTGACTGTTTATGTAAAATCATGCAAGCCTTTGCCAACTTTAGGAAGTGAATTTCGACAATGAATGTTCATAATAAAAGCACTTCTGCACATAGCTAGAAGTGCTTTCTGAAGCGGCAGTCCAAAACCGGCTAGTGCTTGTAATTATTCTTTCTCGTGCATGCTAGTCGTTATTTGTTTCCCTCGTACAATAGGGTGCCACCAAAGTTTTCCTTCCAACTTCTTTTGGTTACCCATCTCTGTAAGACTCAGAGAAATACCAATCTATGGCAATTTTGGTGCTACCCCTGTGGTTAATACTTTCGAATAAATTTCCATGAAATGCTACCAACAGTCATCCACACGCTTGGGTAGTTGTTGGGATGTGCTTGGTACCCACAACATATGTTGTATATAAAGGTCTAATCGTACTCTTTCTGCTTGTAGGAACCAAGATGTCTCCACTCCCTTGTAATTTAATCTATGTGGATTAGTAGAATTGAATATGTACCTTTTGTTAATCCAAATTCACACCAAGTTTTTGCTACAACCAATTGCATACACATTTATGTACGAATCTCTATCATCACACTCTTATCAATCTCTTTCAAGTCATAACTCATAAAACACATGATGAGACTACTTTTTCACGATTCAACTTATCAAATCCAATGTCAATTCATCGAACAACAATCCCAATGCACATATACAGCAAATTCTTGAGTTCATAAAATATACCACATACCAAGCATTCTGCACATTTTCTTTAGGACAAATCTCATTTTACTACCTCAAGTTTTATGGTTTTCAACATTTAGTACGTGAAGTTTTTTTTGTCTCAAAGTCATACCTAAAGTGTTAATTTTGGGACAGTCTCATACATCCGTTTGTCTGTCTATTAAGTCTCCTATTAACTGATGACTTGACGTCCATGTAGACAATGACTAGGAACCACGTCTTAAAAAAAATAAAATAAAATAAAATAAAACCAGAATCCCATTTCCTCTTCCCCACCCAACACCCCTCCATCCCTTCCACCCTTCACCCACCGACACCTTTCCCCTTCCCTAATACCCACCCCTACCACCAAGCATTTTCTCCTTCCCCAAAAACCCAGCCCATTCCCTTCCCCCAAAACCCCAAAAGAATTCGATCTGGGTTTCGCAAACTGACCCTCCATTCTTCCCACCTATGTAAACAAGCATACCTAATTTCACAATCTATTTCAATTCCCACAAATACACACAAATTACTAAAATTTCAAGCAAAAACAATGGCTCGGCGGTGTGGACGATGACGATTGGCTGGACGGACTTGATGGGCAGAGAGGGTTGGTGAGTTATGAAAGAGGTTAGGATAGACTGACCTAGAACAAAACCGGATTTGGTGGGAATCAGAGCACTGCTGCTTGTGAGCGCCATTTTTGTTAGATTTTCTAAAGATATATATATATATATATATATATTTTTTTTTTTTTTGGGTGTAAAGGTACAATGAGATTGGAGAGAGAAATCTTAGAGGGTACCTGAGGAAGGGAAGGAGAAGGGTTGTGAATCTGGGCCCATTGTTTTTGCTTGAAATGGGTGTCGAGTGGAGGGGGTGGAGGGGATGGAAGGGTGTTGAGGAAGAAGAAAGGGGGTTCTGGTTTTTTTCTTTTTTTTTTTTTTTTTAAATGACACGTGGTGCTCAGTCATTGTCCACATGGACGCCACTTCATCAGCTAACGGAAGACTTAACAGCCAAACTAACAGATATATAAGACTATCTTAAAATTAACACTTTAGATATGACTTTAGGATAAAAAAATTTCATGTATTAAATGTTGAAAATCATGAAACTTGAGAGTAGTAAACTGAGATTTATCATTTTCTTTAAGCAAACTATTATCTTGAAGAAATGGAAACAAAGAAGATAGTAATAATATTGAGATAGTAATTAGATTACCGGATGAAATATGACTAGCAAAGATGGAAGAAGAGGAAAAGATATCAATAGTCTTTTTAACTTGGACTTGATTAAAGTAATGGTTCCTCAACTAAAAATCAACGAGTATTGGTTCTTTAACTCATCAAAGGGTGGAGCTATGACTCTTGTCTCTCAAAACCTAATTGAAGAGATGGTCCTTCAACTTTAACGGTCAATTGGAGAAATGATTTCTTAACTTTAATCCAATTGTGGCAATGGTTCTTCCAATATGACTTATTTTGACGGAATTTTGATGGAGTTGACGAAAAGGACCATAGCTGCGCAGTTTGATGAGTTAAGGGATCAATGGTTATGAATTTTTAGTTGAGGGACCAGTACTCTAATTGAGTTAAAGTTCATGGATCATTTCTACAATTTTTTTTCATAGAAGAAATGAGTGAGAATGAGGTAATGATGGCATCAAGACCTAACTGCAATTCTCAATGGTAGAGCCAACATGGGTTCATTGGTTGTCCTTGACCTCAACAACTTCAAAAACCTCATACATATTTGTTTGTGCATTGTATTTGACCCCTGTGGAGCCAAGAATAATCACAAGGCGATACGTGGATTTTTGGATAGAAGAGGACAAAATACCCTTGAGTCACAACGGGATACCTACGCGCGAGCAGCGGACAATCATCCCTCAACCAAGTCAAAAGTGCCCAAAATAGATAACAAATTCAAAACTATTTCATCCACCCTCATCCTATATTCTCCACAAGGTAATTATTCCACAACCCCCAAAACATTTCTTTCAAATTATGTTAATTAGTCAATTAATGGATTTATTACCTAATTAATCTTTTAATAACTAATTAACTACAAATTACACCCAAAAAATACCACAAATGGCTGGTCCCTATTCTCCTAATAGGGCCGGCCATATCTCCATTCTCTCAAAAAACCACTTCCAAGTCTCTTGCAAAAACTCTACAAAATTTTTCAAACACTCTTCCCTCAAAATTCTAACTTTGGCCTTAGAGGTTCTTCGGCCAAAGTTCCTAATTAATCCATTAATCACCAATTAAATCACCCATTTTCGCACAAAAAACCTTTAAGGGCCGGCCACCTCCATTCGCTATATATATGACCCTATTTTCTCTAAAAAGCTAAGTCCACACTCTTGTAAAACTTCAAAAACTCTTCAAACACTTTTTCTCTCTAAATTCTAACTTTGGCATCCGAGGTTCTTCAGCCAAAGCCCTCCCATTCATCGTGGAGATGTGAGGTTCTTGGTCTTAATCTAAGGTATTAATTGTTTTGTAGGTGCAATTTTGTTCAAGATTAAGAAGGTGAAAATTTGCATCTATAATTTTCTACCGTTTTACTGTCTATAAATTCAAGTGTTTTTCATACATCAGCTCAGCTGGGACGTTAAATACCTCAATCAAGGGTAAACAAAGATAAAGGGAGTAAAAACAAGAGAGGGGGTGTGAGTTGCCACTCTGCATGCATGCAAGTGGTTCTACCCGTTGCCAACTTGCCACGTCTCTCACTTGGTTGCAAGTATAAATGAGTGGCGATCGAGCCTGCCTTTGTCTGCCTCAAAAATTACATCACCTGAATATTTTAAGAAACAAAGAAATGAAAAAGAAAACTTTGGAAACGTGAAAGAATAGACCACAATAAATATGTATTAAAATACATGATTTATTGAATAGAAAGTGGTTTAAGAAATTCAAAGAGGATTCTCATTCGTTTTAAAAGTCTTCCCCACGCAACTCCAAGATTAAAATATTTATTTATTTTTATTTTATGTTTTCCTTCGTTGTCGGTTTAGTTATCACATGGTGATCAGCACTAGCAGCTAGCTAATTTGTCAATTTTCCTACTTAATTATGTTTAGTAATCCAAAGCAAACGGGATTATCCTAATCTACTGGGAAATGGAAATGCCCCAAAATGGGTTCAATCTACGTAGGCAGTTAGTTAAGTGGTAATTATATTCTCTGGTCAAACCATTATAACGAAGGAAAACTAATAAAAAAAGTTTCAAAATTTTGAGTTTTAGCGATAAGGACAAAATAAAAGATAAAAATGAATAGTATCAGGATTGATTTTTTAGTGTAAAAATATGATTTTTCGTTAAAGTAAACAATACCAGGAGTTTTTCGTTAAAATTCTCGTATAAGAACGGGTTTAATACTCTAATCTATATTTTAAAGTTATGAGCTCATGCATTACCTTGCCTACCGGAAAGTACAAATAAATTATTATAACCATAAGAGGCAAAGGGTCAACCCATTAAACCAGAATTGGACTTCTCTAAAACGAGTTTTGTTTCACTAAATAAAATATCTAAAATTGACTACCGCATAATGGTTTAGTGGTTAAAGATAAATTCTAGATTTGTATTCTAACCGTCGTGGTAAAGACACCAGCTAGTTCTTTTTTTTATAAAAAAATAAAAAATAGGAACTGCTATTAGTATTCCAGAAATCGCATTCTAAACTCCTCACAAGTGTATTTTTTTCTTCTAATTATAAAAATTAAGTATAAAATGAGATTTTTGAAATGCCAATAACAATTTCTTAAAAAATATCTAACATTCTTATTAATCTTTACATGTCGTATGTTTGAATATCATTAATAGCCAATCCGAAACAACCTAATGTTAATAACCAATTTGATAACAACCTAACTCTGAATATTGTTAATAGCCAATTCGATAACAACCTAACTCTGCAGTATATATCCTTGTATTAAGTTTCTTGGCCAAACATCTATTTTTTTAAAGAAAAACTAATGAAAAAACTTGAAAACTTTAAGTTTTAACGATATAAAAATTCATCAACTGTACTAAATCTGAAAGGCCATAATCAAAACAACAGTAACTTATCCGAGCTCTGAAATTCAGCTTCATATTCCAAAACATTCACAAAAAGATAAGCTGGTAACTCTGGGGGTTTCTAACACTTTGACAACAAATATAAAGAATTAAAAAACAAAGGACACAATACAAAGAATTAAACTGGAGATTAAAAAAAACAGAAAAAAATAAATAAAACATAAAAATCCCTAATGTTCTTATTTGGAATAATTAAAATTGAGAATTGTTATTAGCACTCCAAAAATGTCATTATACACTCCAAACTTTCTATATTATGAAAGAAAAATACAATTGTGAGGAGTGCAGAATGAGATTTTTGGAATACCAATAACACTTCCCTTAAAATTTGCTAAATAGCTGCTGAGAAATGAGGAACCTATTAAGCAGGTTGGTGTTTCAGACCAATTGACTCTTTTCTTCATTTTCTCCGGCGTTTTCTAGTCGGATTCTGTCGTTTTCGATTGGAGCAGGTTTTGAAGTGTTGGTCTTGGAAGACGGGGTTGAAACTCTCTGGTATGGTTTATTTTCCGGCAGGAGTTTCAGTGTGATCCCCATACCTATGAGCAGAAGTCCGGTCCCGTGCTCTTCAGTTAATGGCTTTGTGAATATCATGTATGACAGCAGTAATGTGACGGCCTTTCTGGCCGTTGTGATCTGCGATAAAAACAAGGGATTCAATCAGAATATTTCAAAGGAATTTATATGGTTCACATTGTACTATATGCTTGTTCGTATTCGTGCATATGATATTTAATGTTGCCTAAGAAACAACTCTTGCTTTGAAAATGCCACTTGAAAATAAATGTGATTTCAAGATATTTATAACAAGGTATGGTACCACGTTGAGATGTCTAGGCACAAATAGACTTGTGACAAGAATGTACCATGGCTGTGGTGGCGGCTCCGAAAAGTGCAATGAGGGAAAGGACGGAGACTTGGCCGACAAATGTGGCCATGGCTTCAAAGACTAACACGCCATACACGTATGGATGCTGCATAATACCAAAAAGATTTGTTAGACATTGTGAGGCTTGTGTGATGCATGTAACATGGTGGAATCTTAGGATTTTTGGATTGCAAGTTACCTGCCAACATGAGTTCCACGCTTTGAATAATTCCCCTGTCAAAAGCATGGGTGGAATCAAGAAAGGTAGGCCAACCACTGTAGAGCAAAACAGCATCTCCATCTGTGGATTAGGATAAAGGAAAGCACAAAATTATATGAAAAGTCACATATTTTTCATGAACAAGTTTCGAGTTCACGTTTAAACATCCACAAAGAGAATCTAATAGCATAATGTCACCTGTGTGGTTTCGGGATTCATGGTAAAGATAGCTTCTTGCAAGTTACCCAAAAAGGAATCCATGATTAAAGCACCCGATACCATCAGAACACCAATCACGCTGAAGTTGGGAGATGTTTGTGCATCTGCTAGGGTGAATAGGATCAAACCCACCACCAAAAGAAGTGCAGAAACGTATTCGTGAGGTGGGTATTTTCGTCTCAAACCTGGTATGAAGGCTCCCATTACCATCACAGGCAGAACCTGAAATACCAAAATCATGAACCTAAAATCAGAAAACCAAGAGCAACAGTAGACGGCACTTACAATTCCAGTTGATACCAATCAAGTATAGGGAAGTTCCACAATTGCATTTCTCAAAAGTACAAACTAGCTTAAAAAAATGACATCTTTTTACTTAGTTACTTGGCTAAGAACTTAAAATCAAACTCTCTAACTCTGCAACGCTCCACTCCCCCGAAAAGAAGAAGAATCATCTCAAATCTGCCCCTCTTAACAAGCAAGTAATTTTTTTACCTCTATTTTTTACTCTCAATTTTATCCGCATTGAATGGTTATCCAGCTAAAATTAGTTGCTGGAACTGAAAAACCAAATTACCATATAAATTTTCATGTCTTTACCTTTGTCGATTTGAACATGAGCTGTGCCGGATAGTTGAGAAAAGCCAAAGAGCCTTTGGTAAGTCCATGGGACCCCATAAGCACAGCAGAAAGCTTCACATAAGTCTTCCATGGATTCACCATTTGCTTGGTGGTGAAGCCTTGCAGGTATATCAGAAATAGATACACAAATCCTTGGACAAATGTGAAGTACCAACCATAGCTGCAACAAGAAATTCAAAATAAGCATAAACAGGTCCTAATCGTAAAGCCCGAAATCAAGCACTTTCAAAACTATTTGGCAAACAAAAACACTTCCAAAATTTAAAAATAAATAAATATCCATTCGATTCGCTTACCTGAATTGTAGCCTGTTATACACATATTCCTGAAAATGAGCCAAAAAATATGATTTAATTAGCAATTCAAACAAGTAAAAGTTTGTATAAGAAAAAAATCGATTGCTTTGGGGATACAAGGCTTCAAAATTTTAATTCATTCCTGAACGTGCAATGAACTGGATACATTAATTAAAAAACGCGGACCAAAATTATATCAAGTTGATCTTTTGATTTCCTAAAAATGTAAACTAATAGAATAATCAGACCCAATGGTCCCAAAACCAAACGGAGGATTAAAGTTTTTATTTGATAATTGTTTGCTCAACTTTCTCAGCAACCAAACAAATACAAAAGCAGTAAAATATTATTAAATAAAAATCGCAGGTCTGCTATGAACGAAACAATTCCTTGCACAGAAGAGAAAGCTTAATCCGTTGCTTGGTTGCTAAGACACCAAACAGAAAAGGGGGATACCCAAAGACTAAAAAAGTTGTCATCCAAAAAACTTTCCCACTAACCAAACAGAAAAAATAGCTTTAGACCACGAAATTTTCCTTTATTTCCAGGCTCAGTTTCTCGGCAACCAAACAGGCGCCGAATTTTTCCCTTACAATAATAACATATAAAACAGAGTGAAAGAAAATACCTCGCAGACACCATTAACAAGGTAGCCAAAGAAGAACCCAGAAGAGCAAAGGAGGAATTGTTGCCATTTGGGTCTGTCAGAGAGCGAAATCCCAAAAAGGAACCGGGCTCGCTCATCGTTCTTCATCGATTTGAATCGTTTTCTCACCGACCCAACTGGGTGTACTGGATATTGGGTACCCAAGAAAGAGCTCAGAAATTTCAAAATCAAGGAGAAATTGGGCAGAAAAATGGTGGATTTTTACCAAAAAAGAATGCGGAATATATGGAGTTCACTACAGTTGGTGATGCACTTGCATGTTGACTATCCCAACACAGAAAAGAAGGAGAGAGGAAAATGATTTGTATATAAAAGGACAATGGTATCGGGTTGAACACGGTGACTATTTATTCTTTACTTGTGAAGAATGATGCCAGATGTTGAGAGGGTGGAGAGAGTTTTTGGACTCAGAGTCGGAGCTCTTTCTAGTTTTCATCGCACTCTTTCGCCTCTTCGAGTTGGCAACGCGGCAGAGGAAAGAAACAGACAAGGGTTTTTGTTTTCTAAAGTAATTATTATTATTTTATTTTTTTTAATAAGCGATAATAAAGTCTACAAATGTAGAAGAGTAAAGTAAATCTCGTACTGAGTTCGTTATAATAAATTTAATTTAAATTCGTATTTGGAAAACGAACTTAAAATATTTTACTTACAAGTGAACAAGAATGACAATAGACTTGCAATATTAAATTACTCTAAATAATTAAGATTTTAGAAAGTTTAACAGTGTTATTAGAGGTAGGTTTTTTTGGTGTAATGATTGCGGATGAGCCCTTTGGTTTTTTCTTTGTAGAGATAACCGACCTCGACACTTATTTATACTAAATCCTAATTCCCTATCACTTTTTCCCCATCTCTTATGAATCATTATTTATTAGGAAAACTAATGAAAAAACTTTAAAATTTTGAGTTTTAACGATAAGGATAAAATAAAGAGTAAAATGAATAGTACTAGGATTGACTTTTTAGTGTAAAAATATAATTTTTCGTTAAAGTAAACAGTACCGAGAGTTTTTTGTTAAAGTTCCCTTATTTATTTGGAATAGGAAGTTATGAATCGAGTAAGATAAACAAATAAAAGGGTTTTGTTTGAAAAAGATTAAAATTTAAAAAAAAAAAAATTAGGTGTTCAATTGTATATTGATTTTGATCCTTTCAAGTGTACTCTATTAAAATTGATATTCTATTCTAGTTTTAATTCTTCCTTCAAAATGTCATCTTGCAAAGAAAGACATCTGGCTGTAGCCAAAAGAATAAAAAAACAGTGTTTTAAGAAAACATTAAAACGATCACCATATAATTGAGTTGTTAATAATTTTGGATTTGAATAATTTTTTATAAAAAAAAATGCCTAAAATATGAACAGTTCAAATAATTAAAACACAAAGCCAGACTTACAAAGTTTATTTGAGATTTTTCAAATTGATCTCCATCCTTCCATTCTCCATATATATAGACACAAAGTTACACCACAAAAAAAAAAAAAAAAAAAATATATATATATATATATATATATATATAGGTTAGCATGCATTTCCATTTGTTTTCCAAATTGGTGAGGTTTCGTATCTTATCGTTTTTGGTTTATTGACCGACACACTTATATATATATATATATATATATATATATATACACAAGTTCTTTAAGAGAAGGAATTTCCACTTATTTTTATTTTATGGATAATACATGCATTTATTTCTTGGGGTTGAGCTAATTCTCCCTTGCAAATAAGGTATATTGACCTTACAATTTCACAGAGCCATTTTAATTCTTAATCTTCATTTTTAAGATCATTCTTACCAAGAATTGTTTCAATTGGAGATCATTAGTCATTCAAATATATAGAACAAATTAACTGTGTAAGTTCCAAGTAATATATTCATGATGAACCGTCTATTTATTTGATGTTTTTGGATGATTAAACGATCTCCAATTTGAATGATTTCTTGTAGCAGTGGTTTTAAATGAAACTTAATAAATTGAACATTTTTTATTATTTGAACGAGATATGGTATTTGTAAATGAAAGATATGTAAATTCCCACGTGGGGAAATGCAAATATTATCCCAATATTATTACTTAGAAGATTTGAGCTTCCTCCTCGATCCACACCATAAATACAAAACAATGACCCAGGATTTAGTAGCCAACTTTAATTTGGATTTTAATATTGGTTCAAAAAAAAATGTGGATTTTAATAAACCTTCACTTTACAAGATTGATTAAATTACACTCCATGTATTTACAGGTCCATGCAAACATTTCAAAGAAGGTGATGGTCAAATTCGACCATTGTTCAATGACCCAGCTACTCGACAAGTCAAATAAAAGCTTGGATTGATGATCAAAAAAGAGAACGGGTCAATTAAGTTTCGTGACAGGCAGTGTTCCTTAGCTTAGAAATTTAGATCCGTTCTAGACATTAGTGTTTGTAATTTAAGAATCAACACATCTGGACTTAAAATAAATAAATAAACATTTGAACTGCTGATTAGTATGTGATAGACCATCAAAATGAATTAATAAAAACCATTGGATTTAATTTGTGTGATTCAAACATGTTGATTCATAAGTTCCTGACACTAAGTTTAAACCGGATCAAATTCCCATAACTTTGGTCGACTATGGATCTATAACGTTCGGTTTTTTCCTAGCACATGTGATGTGCTGTGAGGGGTTCAGTGTGCTGATGTACGTTAGATGTATATGTCAAACTACCCATGTGATATACATATAGGGCAAATGATACATGTAAAACCCTAACGAGCAAAACGTTTCACAGTGACAACGGTACCATGCGTTTTCATGAATGTAACGATATGGAAGTCTTCATTGCAGCAGCACTTTACACGCTTGGTAAGAGTGATGTTATATATGTTGGCATAAATGTAGGTGTATTTTATCCTAATTAACTGGTCCTAAATTACTCTTTTTTTTTCTTTTTCGAATAAACGATATTATCTACACTAAGAGAAAGGGAATGGACTTAGCCTCACAATAAGCTAGCAATAATGTGGTTCAAATTCGTATTTGGTGAGAATTGAACCTAAGAACCTCTCACTTACAAGTGAAGATGAATACTACTAAACCATAATACTAAGTGGCTAAATTACTCAATTATATTACAACTAAGAGACAATGTTGGTTTCTTACAAGGATTCTAATGAGAATCATAGTGATTGTTTATCCATATAAATAGTGGGCACTACTCTTACAGAAAAAGATGCTTATTATTGTACCAAAAGCCTATTGTTTGGTTGTGCACTGTGTATCTGGCAAAGAGGAGAACCTTAATTATTATTTAAGTCAGATAATTCTTACATTTTAATATATTTAAGTAAACTTCAAGCACATATAATGAATTTGACTAAATTTTGGTAAAGTGAAGCGAAAATCGAATTCTAAGGTGTTAAGTGACACAATTTAAATTTCAAGGTTAAAATTAAGATCAAGATCGAGTTCTAGGGGTCATAGAAAAAAAATAAGGTTAAAAACCAGTACCTTCCTACCTTAAGGCTTACGAACACATAATTTGGATGAAAACTCATATGCACATGCAGTTGGTTTTAAAGAAAATGATAATCACACTCCTTTACTTTCTCTATATAGTTTGTTTAATTCTGTTCACTGTTTGCAATTTATTTTTTCAATTTGATACTTAAAAATTAAGAAAGGTGTGTATGTTCATTATTTCTCTTAATTTTAATAAGACAAGTTTCATATGTAGAAATATTGGATGAAAGTCTTTTATGATTAATATATAAGTCAAACTATCAATTATCTATTCATCTAATGTTGTTTCTTTTGTCAAAGTTGCAAACAAATATAACTTAAGGTTTGGATATATCAGTTAGGTTAAACCTCAAACAAGTAATTAAGCATAAATAAAGCTAACCAATACATATAGTTACAAACTTATGAATTTGTTTTGGTCATTTTTCCTTCACAAGTAAATGAGCAAATACTCTACATACTTATGTGTATCAATTATTTATGTAATGTTATTTTACAAGTGCTTTTGTTGTTAAATTTGATTTTTATAATTATTAAGTTTTTTTATTTTCAATCTCAATTATGTAATTTTCATACTGCTTAGTACAATTCAGTGCTAACTGCTAAGTACTATTGTGATTTAGTTTATTGTTACGGTCTAGTGGTATTCCTCTTCACTTCTAAGTGAGAGGTCTTAGATTCAATTCCTTCCAAAAACGAATTTGAACAGCATTATTGCTAGTCCATTGTGAGGCTTAGCCCACCCCCTCTTCTTGAGTGTAAATAGTATCGTTTTTTAAGAAAAAAAAGTAACAAGAAGAACAGTTTAGTAATAGTAATTCATATGTCGGTCACACTTTCAGTTTTCATCCATTAAGTATTATGGTTTTGAAACTTTATTATTATTATTATTATTATTATTATTATTATTATTATTATATATTATTATGATGTAAAGGACAAAGAAAATAAGAAAATGTGAATTTGGGTCCGTATTTTAAATTCCCTCCTTGAAGTAATCAGTCATGCATGTACATTAAGGTACCGTTTGGTACGTGGGATGAGACGAAATGCAATGGGACGGGACGCACTCGTCCCACATTTGGTTCACCAATTTGCCTGGGACACGCTATCCTGATGAAACAGATTTTAGTCAATTTTTCCTGCCACCCTCCTCGTGGAACAACTTGTTCCAGCCCATGGAACACAAAATTATAACTTTTTGCACAACAATACCCCTCCTCTTTTTCATTAATTTCACTTCGAAAATTAATCAAAATTCTAGAGATCTCTCAATTTCTACACAATTAGCATAAAATATTCATTAAAAATTAAAATTTACCTCAATAGATCAACTCAAAAACTGAGTTCTCTTGTTTTTCCAGGAAATCAAGCTTCCTTGATCACACTTCAAATTTTTCGAGAAATTGAGTGACAAAAACCCAACAAAAAGCAATTTCTTTGCGTTTGATTTCTATATTCAAAGCAAAAAAATAGCAAAACGAAAAAAAACCTAGATCAGATAAAGGGTTCCTTAGAAAGCCAAAGAGAGAAATTTTATGGGGAAACAAACTGGAAGAACAAAATGGTACCTAGGAAAGCCAGTGAAAGGACGTGGCCAACGTCGTCACTCGAGGGATGGGATGATGAGGATTAGGCAGAAGATGTGAGGGATGATGTTGAACTTGTCGACAATGGCTTAGGTAAGGTCGAACTCGTCGAAGTGGATGGGTATGATTGTTATTTAATCTTTCGTTCCATTCCTGCCTGAGCGTACACCAAACATAGCATGGAATCTTCGTTTCGTTTCGTTTCATCCCGTTT